AGCATTGTGCAGTGAATACTATTTGAATGATTCTGTGAAATGCTTTGAATGGCCTAGGAGGTTGGAGGTGATACCTTGAGAAAGAGAACTTTCTGAGGGGGTATTTAAACTTATCCAGTACAAAACTATCAACCTTGGGAACACTTAAGGGCACACCTGTTACCCTGAGGATCTGCACCTGCTAAGACTCTTAAAACCTGAGGAAAGTAAATACTTTGAAAAATAAAAGAATTTTTTTTTCAAGAAAATAAAGAGTTGGGCAAGTGTTATGTTTCAATCCAAACACAACCACAGCCAGATATTAGATGTCGAGCTGTTCACAACCTGGCTTCTATGCATACTTTTTTAAACTCCAGAATATACATAAAAAATCCATATGCTTCTAACTGGCTACCCACTTAGCCATACACACAAATGTGACACACATTTGTGTAACACACATTTATACACACAGCTATACAGCAGGTGGACACAAATATTTACTGTAGACCTTCTCCAAGTGGCCTATACCAAGTCATGTGTACATTTCAACTATTTCACATAGAGACAAAAACTGGCAGGTATTCATGGACATTGACATTGACATGGACACATACATGCCCCTTTAGGCATGTAGATTTACATAAACTGAATATTCACTTATTCACAAACACTCCCCCACACAAATGTGCTGCATAAATAAATTACTCTATAATATTTTTCTATGTTGTATTTTTTCAATTAAAAATTAAACAAAACATGCACACAATGAAGCATATATGCATGCACATAAAACCCAAGCATGCACACAAAGACAAATAAGGATAAACACAACAGAGGCATCTGTGAGAAGCCAATGAACAAAATGATATCAACACACAGCCATCTAGAAACGCACAAGAAAAATGTGAGGAAGACTGATCTTCAGGGAAGGATAAAGAAAAAGATGAGTACAGAGTCACAGTCAAGGGAACTAGCACTAGTTTATTCATCCTTATATACAGGTGATGCACCAATCTTTCAAGAGGCTACCTGGGAGACCCACTTCCTATTCACAGTTTTGTAAGAAGTGTTAATTCTTGGATGAGTTAAAGAATGGATAAGGAGGGTTGCTTCCCCAAAAAAAACCCACTCCCTTACCCTTTTCCAGAAAACGAAACTATGGGAAATCAACATAGGGTCTAGAGCAGTGGTGACAAACCTATGGCATACATGTTATTTGTTTTTCTTTTAACACAGTAGATACTAATGTATTAGCTGTATACAGCTAATACAATCATAGTATTTAGATTTAATTGCAGTGCTGGCACTCAGAAGTAGGTGGATTTTGTTTGCAATTTGGGCATGTTTCTGAAAAGTTTGTCCTCCCTGGCCTAGAGGAACTCCCACCCATTTCTTCTGTCTTACAAATTAATAAGATCTAATAAAGTAGCTAACACTTACTATGAATTTTCTGCTTTAAACTAAGCCTGAATTAATTTACAGACCTCTCACCAAAATAGCCTAAGAGATAGATGTTGTCCTTGTTCTCAGAGGACTCTAAGTAGTCAAGATTACACAAAAACTGGATAAAGTTAGGACTAGAATTCATGCCTTACCTTATTCTTAACCCCTCATCCAAATAGGAGCCCATCAAAAGATACACCTTTAAAGAAAAGAATAAAATACAGTGCTGGATTCCTTTTTCCTGTTTCTTCAAATGTGAAGAAAAAGACTGAATCAAAAGAAAGACTAGCATTCCAACATGTTTCTCAGAGAGATTTCAAGGAAAATAGTGTACAAATGAGTAAGCAGACTTTTGTGGCTGCATAAATCCAGGCACCCAAAAAAAGCCTATGTTTACGTCACAATGCATCTCTTGTCCTTAAAATGAATGGAAAAGACTTAAGGAGAAAATGATGAATGAGTGTTCCAGGTAAAATGCAGCTGAACACAATACAAAACAGAATTTTACACAGCTACCTCCATGTAAAAACAAACAATACATTCTTGACATTTCTGAACATGAGTTAACTATAAGTGAAAATCTCTGAGAAGCACCAGCAGTCTACAGACATCTGTAGAAATTTCTCATTTCAAATTGGATAATAATGTATCCCATCCAAAACAGAAGTCAGATACTATGCATTCTCCTGAAGAAGATCTAAAGGAAAAGGATCTTCATTTAATATTTGGTCATGATTCTGGTCTGTTCAATAGAGCACCTAACAATAAACACAAAACTTCCATCCTGTCATCCTCCTGAAGAACTCAGTAAATGTAGCACCAAGAATATGGGTAGTATACCTTCTAAGGAGATCTACCTAAATGTGAGAATATTATTAAGATGAAAGACAAAAGAAAATTCTGGAGCCAAATCCTGAATCAGATAAAAATAGAAACATGAATTTCTTATTACACAAGAAGAGAGGGCCAGGGAGATAGCTCAGTAGCATAAGCACTTGCCTGGCAAGTACAAGGTCCTGAGTTTCATTTCTGGTACCACAAAAAAAGGAGCCCATCATACAGAAAAGGAAAAAAAAGGTCCAAGGAGGGGAAGGAAATTTCTTGGGTTCACCACTAAATAAGTCTTCAAATATGTCATGAGAAACTGCCATTACCATGTGTCCCTCCTTCATGGTTTCCTACATTGATCCTTCACTCTGTGTTTCAGCAAAATCACCAAAGACAAACACACTTGATCTTTGTGACCCCAAGTACCTCTCCCATTATACCTTTACCCTCAAAAGCCTATAGGAACCTGTATAAACACTGAGGAAGCTTTTGGTGCCAAATTCACTGAGAAGCAAGTTCTCCGAACTTCCACCTCTTTCCTACTCAAGAAAATAAAGGGAAGAGAGGGCCAGGCTCGGGGCCAACACAGGTGCTGTCTGATAATCAGGATTATTGGATTAGTACCTGCCAAGCCTGTGCTAATCCTTCTCTCTACTTCTTTATCCTCCAATATCAATAAGCAACTTGAGTCTCTGCTTTGTTCCCTCCCCACAGGTCTCAAAATCCAACCACATAGAACAGGTGGAACAAGATAAGTCCTAGAAGTGCCAACCTCACCCACCTCCATTTGTCCAAAGTTAGAGGCATTGAGGCAGGGTGAAACCCTCGTGGTGCAGCCATCAAGATCTGCTCAGTGCCCAGTACTCAGATGAGGTTCTTCCCAGTGTTGACCTGAGGTCAATCTCAAGCCTAAGACTAATCTCAGCATCTACCTAATATTCATGTCAGAAATTTCTTAGGCCAACATCAGAGAGAATAAAGTGCCAACCTTAGAGTTTCTTGAAAGCAACTACAGCGGCCACTTGGGGCCACTCTCAGAATCCTTTGGGCACTACCAGTGGTTCTAACTAATATTCTCTTGGCATCAAATTCAGGGTCAACTTCTTCCCCACTCCCAGTAGGATAGACCTATCTGGTGACAATGTTAGTGTCAACCTGATGCTCCTCCATCCTGGTCAACCTGATACTGATATCTGCATCTGCCAATGTAATCCACTGCTGATTCCAATTTCAACATCAACCTCCTGTCATGTTTTGTCTTCATTAGTACCCCAGGATGGGGTAGGCCAGGAAAAGAAAGAAAAAAGGGAGAATCCCCTCACTTACTATATTAATAGCCTCAGTGAGGTAGATTATAAACCAGCACTATGACTACAAAATTCAAAAGATCATACACACATAGGTTTAATAGCTCCCCTAGAATTCAATAAGCTCACCAAAAGCCTGCAGGAGAATTTCAGTGAAACAAAGACAACAGGGCCATTCATCCATTCTCTGCCCTGACCTTCACAAGATCCACTTGAATTCTCCACAGTGGTGTTATTTAAGTCTTTTCCTCCAGGGTTTCTTTGGCCTGCTAAAGGCAGGCCTGGAAAAATCAAGAGTAACCCACAAAGATTAGACACACTTTCATATATGACCTTCAGTACCCAAAATATTCCCTTTCTATGGGTGGGGAAACCAGAGTCTAGAAAGGGAAAACTGAATGTAGGAGGGACAAGAGTTTAGGCCTCCTATTTTAAGATTCCCTCCTGTGTTTCCTGTCCTCCCTCTGTTGTGTTCTTAGTGCACACATCTATGAGTAGGAAATATTCATACTAACAATAATCATGATAGAAATGAGTCAGTGAACCCAGTGAACTTCCCCAAGGATCTGGGAAGACCAGTGGGGCTCTCTTAAAGTAGAACTCTCAGTACAGTAGGGTTTTCAGACTACTTTGGTGACTGTTATCCTTTTCCAAGGCTTGGTCAGGCCCTGTGCCAGCTAACACCAAGAGTTGTTTTTCTCTAATTCTTTTCAAAGCTTCATGGAAATGGGACTCTGATCTTCTACCACCTTCCCAGGTACACACAAGCCATGGAAGCATTAAATTCTACAGTGTCCATCGGGTCTCAATTTGATATTCCCATGAGGACTCTAGGGATCAAAGAACAGCACAGGGCCAAAGTCAAGCAAGACAATACACCTGGACTCAGGTGCTCATTTCCTGGATCATGTTGGACTTGATCTCCCGTATACTTTATTTCTTTGGAACTCTATCATATCCATAGTTCCTGTTCCTTCTTATTTCAAATCCATACCCTTAGAATTCCCTATCCTGAGACCTATAAAACTTGTGTCCCTCCTCATTAAAAGACTCCTAAATCCATAACCATACATATCTTATGCCAGTTAAACTAAAGGCTTAAGATTTATTTCTCTTGAGACTCTAAAACCCATGCTTTTGAGGCTGTCTCACTCTGAGACCCTACATTCAAAACCCAGAAGCTCCCACATAAATATTACAAAGTTTTTAGCTATAGAATTTATCTACCTCCCCCACTTCTTTGTAATCCACAGCCCTTGGATAGTTCCTCTGCTGTGTAGAGGCTGCTCCCTATTAATGAGCTCAGATATCCACCTCCTCATTTCCTGACTGTGAGCCAAATTAGGTGGGGTACAAGGCAGGAAGTGTAGTTAGGAGGAGAAATGTGACAGTTATATAATCAGGACCAAAGGCGGTCTCTTCCAGGGAGTATAAATGCAAACTATCACATCCATCACAATTTGTCTGTTACCCTCACTGCCATCACCATGCTGGCCTCAGGGTTGCTTGTGGTGGCTTTGCTAGCCTGCCTGAGTGCAATGATTCTAATATCTGTCTGGCGACAGAGGAAGCTCTGGGGAAAGCTGCCTCCTGGACCCACTCCACTGCCTTTCATTGGGAACTACCTGCAGCTGAACACGGAGCAGATGTACAATTCCCTCATGAAGGTGTCACCAGGCAGGGGAATGGCTGAAATGGGCTGGGTGTTGGGGTCTACGGATTTAGCTAAAGATTTGTGTCAGAGGATTGGTAAAGGGGAACCAGAGTCTTGGGATGAGGTCATTTGAAAGGTTCACTAACAAAGTCTTAGACAGGATGTTCAGTTCCTTCACTGAAAGAAATGCATGCCAGTACTTCTGGGTACTCAGTACAGACACTGGCCCCTGTGACCACTTCTACCCACTCCCACCAGATCAGTGAGTGCTATGGCCCTGTGTTCACCATCTACCTGGGACCTCGCCGGATCGTGGTGCTATGTGGACAAGATGCAGTAAAGGAGGCTCTGGTGGACCAGGCTGAGGAATTCAGTGGGCGAGGCGAGCAGGCCACCTTTGATTGGCTCTTCAAAGGTTATGGTAAGGGGGCCACAACAGGGGTGAATGTGTCCAGGAAGACTTGGTGGTCTGTTTGCCTAGCCTTTCCCACTGACTCATCTGAGTCACTCAAGGCTGTAGAGTCATATCTTCTGGCTGCATGCCTGCTCATCATTTCATCTAATGTGTCTGTCTCTGGCCTTAGAATTTCAATGTCTAATCTCTTCCTGCCTCACCCACCCCCGTTACTATCATTCAGTAGAAATCTCTTCCTTCTCTGATCTACCCATCTTTTAGAATCTCTTACAGATCTTGTTGGTATCCTTTCCCTTTAACTTTATTTGATCTTTCTGTCATCCTTGGCTTCTGTACTTGCCTATCATTGTTTTTTTTTTTCCTTTCCTTCTTTCTTGTTCTTTGCATCAGAATTGCACAAAATGTCTGTTTCCAAATCCCCTGTCCTCCATCTCCAAGCAGCAGTCTCTGTTCTTTCCTCCAGGCCTTCTCTATTTCTCTCCCCTACTCCCTTTTTTTCTTTTCCGGTCCACTTTGCAATCCTTCACAATTTATATTTCCACCCCGCACTCTGTAATCTCACTTCCCCTCCTTCTGTCACCTGCCTCTGTACTCTCATTCTTTTCTTCCTTGTTTTTATTGGAGTCTCTTTCTCCCACATCTATCTTACCACTCAGGGTAGCTCTTTTGATTCTCTCTCAGGTGGTCTTATCTTGTTTTACAGGCTTCTCATCTTGAGTCTGTGTGCATCTCTAGCGGTGCGTCACCCTAGTTCTGTGTGCGTCTTTCTTCCACACTGTCTCTGCTCAGTGGTGGTTCTCGTCTTCTTCCCACCCTCGTTTCTGAAGCTTTCCTCTCTGTGCTCACCTCCGCAGGAGTTGCGTTCAGCAACGGAGAGCGTGCCAAGCAACTCAGGCGCTTCTCCATTACCACGTTGCGAGACTTTGGCGTGGGCAAGCGCGGCATCGAGGAGCGTATCCAGGAGGAGGCGGGCTTCCTAATCCAAGCTTTCCGGGACACTCGTGGTGAGCCTGGCCCCTGAGCGGGCGGGAATGAGAAGGAAAACAGCCAAAATCCAAGACCTGAGACCTCTGTCGGGCCAGGGACGAGGTGTGGGAAGAGTGTCAGAGGTTTCTGCTCTGGGATCTGGCGCCAGGAGTTGGACTTATCACTTCAGTGTTGATCCACAGCCTCTACTCCTAGGCATCTGCCTACTCTCCTGACTGTCTCTCTCTTACTGAAGCCCCATCTCCGTGTTACTCCCTTCCTTCCAACACTGCAGGCGCAGTCATTGACCCCACCTTCTACCTGAGCCGAACAGTCTCCAATGTAATTAGCTCCATCGTCTTCGGGGACCGTTTTGAGTATGAGGACAAAGAGTTCCTATCACTGTTGCGTATGATGCTGGGAAGCTTCCAGTTCACAGCCACCTCCACCGGACAGGTAACCTGTTGGTCCCAGCATGCCTCTGCCACAACCTATGGATTGCACCTCCACAGAGATACAGGTGCCCCAATCCCACACCTCCTCCAGACAAGGTCCCCTAAAATGGTCTTTTACTGAGGGACACTACAGCAGTTATACTAGAACCCAGGACAGATGTGCAATATCCTGTCTCCAAGGACAGCTGGGTATCTTAAGAGGCCTCAAAAGAAAACCTGTGAGCAAGATAGATGTTTAAATGCCCAGACAGGTGGGCAGGTGCTAAAACTGAGACTACACATACCCAGGGCAGAATGCTCCCCAAACACCCAAAGAAGCATCATTTAATGCAGCTGTCAGAGATAGAAATGACCCTCTATGAAGTGTTTGAATACTAACCAGGTGAACAATCTTCCTCTCATTCTCACACCTGAACACCAGCACTACTTTTATCCCTGAACACATTTTAGAAATCCCCAATCCAAATCTTATAAATATATGAACAGCTGTCTCCAGTTGAATTTGAATACCTAAATACATAAATAAGTGGCCTCTCATAAGAGTTCCACCAGAAAATCTCAACAAATAAATATCTTCCAGTGCATCCCTACTTGAATACCTGAATCCAATATGTGTATTCCAGTCCCTCTCACTGAAACTCGTAGACAATAGCCCTTGTACCTAACTCTTATAAAATTTATGTATATGGTACCATCCAATCCCACCTGAACACTAAATACCTGTGAAAGTGCCTTGATTCCTATGTTTTCCTTGCCCTGAGGCAGTTTTCACTCCCACCAGATCCTCCCACTGACAGGTGTCTTTTCTTTGCTTCCTCCCTCCACAACTCCCAGCTCTATGAGATGTTCTCTTCAGTCATGAAGCACCTGCCAGGACCACAGCAACAGGCCTTTAAAGAGCTTCAGGGTCTTGAGGACTTCATAACCAAGAAAGTGGAGCAGAACCAACGCACCCTGGACCCCAATTCCCCAAGGGACTTCATCGATTCCTTTCTTATCCGCATGCAAGAGGTGCACCCAACAGCCAGGGTGGGGAGGGCCAAAGCTGGGGGAGGGTACAGGGACCCATTTACAGGTGCTCCCATCATAGTAATCTTCACCATTCCAGTCACAATTAAATGTGATTTTCCATTTTCTGGGTCCTTAATTACAGGTAGAACTTGTACATGCAATTAGAGCACAAACCACTACATTACAATATGGCTATGAGCCAGGCATTATTATAAGTACTTGATGGTATTTTTCAACCACAACAAATCTTGAACAAGGTTCTATTATTCTGATTCCAATTTTACAAATGAGTAAACTGTAGAGCAGAACATGTAAATGGCTTTCTGGAGGTCACAAAAAACCAAGGAAGCAGTGAGCTCTAGCTCAGATCTGGTCTCTTTGACTCTGAGGCTAGTTCTCTTGGCCTCTACATTCTCTGTTCTTTCCTATCCTAGTCATTAGATACATCTGTTTGTACAAGTGGTCTAGCTTCACAGATGTAACAGTGGAAAGTTCCCACCCTTGTCTCCCCTCAGGCTTCCATCTGTGTAAAGCAGAGATGTTTTATGTAGTATGAAATTCAAAGCATCAAAGGAAGAGATCCTTCCACAAGAAGCTTCAAGATGTTTAGGACAAGAAAAGATACTGTTGCTTATATTTTTGTGTCTGTCTTAGAAAATCTGTCCCTTATTCTCACTGACTCACTCCATCTTGACATCTCTGTCATCTTTCTCATACCGACTCCCTCATCCTGATTTTCTAAATATTCTTACCATTTAAAAAGTGACAGCTAAGATGATCATTAAATGACAGATAGTCACCCACATGAAGAAGATGGAACAGTATTTCAGGCAGATGCAGTAGCCTAGGCAAAGGCTTAAAAACTGGAAAGAGCCTAGCAGATCTAGGGTCCCTGGCTCCACCTTAGACCTATAGCTAAGAGAAGTGGGTCAAAGGAGAACCTCAAATGGACCAAGGGAATGGGGAATAGGCTTCACCTGAAGCTTTCTCTTTCTACAGGAGGAGAGGAACCCCAACACAGAGTTCTATATGAAGAACTTGGTATTGACCACACTAAACCTCTTCTTTGCGGGCACAGAGACTGTTAGCACAACCCTGCGCTATGGTTTCCTGCTGCTCATGAAGCACCCAGATGTGGAGGGTAAGGCTGAGGGAACAGGGAAGTAGAGACTATAGATTCCCCCAAAGTCCTGTGAAACTGTTATAATGACCTCAGTTCTTCTATGTCCCTGGACACTCAGACACACCCTCCTGTGCAGAGACAAGGCATTATTCAGCAGACAGGAAGAAGCTGAGTCTCACTAGTTGTTAAAGTAATGGAAATGTGTCAACTGACCAAGAAATTTCTTCTGTGCTAAGTCCACTGCCAGCTTCCTCCCATATCCCAGGCAATCCCCTTCCTTATGATCAGCTTAACAGGACCCTGTTCCAGCAGTGTATATGGCAATATCTGTTTTAAGTGTCTACATCCTTGTGTATATAGATGTTTGTAATGCATCCAGCTTTATATCTCATCTGTACTCAGACCTTCTTGTTACCTCAGCCCATTCACCTTTCTCCTCTAGCCAAGATCCATGAGGAGATCGACCGAGTGATTGGCAAGAACCGTCAGCCCAAGTTTGAAGACCGAGCCAAGATGCCCTACACAGAAGCAGTGATCCATGAGATCCAAAGATTTGGAGACATGATCCCCATGGGCTTGGCTCGCAGGGTCACCAAGGACACCAAGTTTCGAGACTTCCTCATTCCCAAGGTGCCAGAATACGGGGACCAATGACCTGTTCCTTGGGACTCTAACACCCTATCCTCATTGGAAGCTTCCCAGCCACAAAGAATTCCTCAACCACTATACACTGTATCCCCTTATCCTCTGCATTCAGAGATCGCTGCATCCCATGTCTCCCCCACACCGGATGCCCTTGAGGATTCAACTCTTGTCTCAAGAACTCACACATCCCCCAGAGATCCTCTCTCAGATGCCAACCCTGTTCGTCTCATTTTTCTCCACAAGGGGCCCTCCTAACACCTTTCAACACATCCATGCCTGAAATCAATATCCTCCTGTTCCCTGCCAGGGCACTGAAGTGTTCCCTATGCTGGGCTCTGTGCTGAGAGACCCCAAGTTCTTCTCCAACCCCCAAGACTTCTACCCCCAGCACTTCCTGGATGAGAAAGGGCAGTTTAAGAAGAGTGATGCTTTTGTGCCCTTTTCCATCGGTAAGAGCCTGTTGTTTACTGCTTAAATACTGCTCAGATCACTGGGGACAGTTTATTCTGAGTCTTCTCTGTAAAATGCAGCCTGAATCTTACTCTATCTGGGTCGTTCTTCTTGGACTTTACTGTCTGGGAACCACCTAAAATGCACTTTCTAACAAGTACCATGTATCTGCACCCAGGAAAAAGGAAAAAGATGATCAAGCCCCATTTAGAGACAGAGAAAATGAAGGAGCAGAGTTAGTTAGAGTTCTCCAAGGATACACAATCAATTTTTTAGACTTTTAGAAAGGAGACTGCAGCATAGCAGTCATACTTAAGAGTATATTTGGAGGGAAGGGGCATTTAACTTCCTGTTGCTAGAGCCTGGAATCAGTGTCCCTGCCTCATGTAGAAGGGAACTGAGGCTCTGAAAGGTTTAAAGACTTCTGGGAAGACTTCTCCAGTCACAGCATTTCTTCCTCGGATAATGTAGCTGGGCTTTAGTATGGGAGGAGGCTCCAGTGAATCCTGGTTTCACCACGACTCTTCTCTCCTCTCCTCCTTAGGAAAGCGGTACTGTTTTGGAGAAGGCCTGGCTAGAATGGAGCTCTTCCTTTTCCTTACCACCATCATGCAGAACTTCCGCTTCAAGTCCCCACAGGCACCCAAGGAAATCGACGTGTCCCCAAAACACGTGGGCTTTGCCACCATCCCACCAAACTACACCATGAGCTTTCTGCTCCGCTAAGTCAGGGCGAGTAGGCCGAGACAGGAAAGGGAGGGGGTAGGATGGGGCTAGTGGGAGTGGCTAGTGGGTAGGATGTGTCTGAGAGAAATAAAGGGGAGTGATGGGCAGGCAAGAGCGACAAGAAACAACAGACAGCTCATCTTGCTGAAGATAGATCCTTCAAAGCTGAGATGTACAAAGAGAACCCTTATCCTGAGCTGTAATAATAATAACAGCTATTGTTTATTGAGCAAATATTCTGTCAGCTCTGTGCTGAAAGTATAACATGATCTCATGCTCACAAACTCACGCAAAGGGGTAAAGTGTTCATGTCTGTTTTACAGGTGACAAAGCTGAGTTTTAGAAAGTTTAAACTGTCGAGGTCTCACAGAACAGAAGTGCCTTAAAAAAATTGAATACAGGTCTGTGCCCATTGTATTAGGGGCAGAATTTTAATGTTGCCCTTTTAAAGTCCAGCATGGTGGTGCACTTCTGTAATCCCAGCATCCTGAGAGTCTTAGGCAGGAGCAATCTGAACCCAACCTGAGCAAGTTGGTCACTTGGCAAGACCTTGTGTTTTTAAAGGAGGAAGAGGGCTGAGAGTGTAGCTGGGTCAAAAGGTCCTCGTTCAGGCCCCCGTACTACAAGAAAAATAGTCGCCTTTTAAACAAATAAAATAAGAGCTTAGTATGCGATCACACAACCTGAGAAGCCTGTCTAAGGTTTTTTTCTTTCTTTCCAGAGCCCTGGCAACCATGTGCTTTGGCTTTGCCTCATGCTTGCCCCCACTCTCACCTGCTTGTTTGCACCTAGAATCAGTCTGAGGAACTGGAATCAGGCCTTTCAATGATGTGTTTGATGCCGGCCTCAGCACGGGGGTGCCCTGAGACAGCAATTGAGACTGGGCATGGTGGCGCATGCCTGTAATCCCAGCTCTTGGGAGGCTGTAAACGGGCGGGTCACTATGAGTCCGATCTAGGAGCAAGACCTTTGAACACCCTGTACACCCTTTCCTAAAGTACAAAAACAAAACAAAATAAAACAAAAAATGATGTGTTTGAGGGAGAAAAACAGTCCCATAAAAGGCCAAGAAAACTGGGTCAGCACATAGTCTCAAGTATGTGTGTGTCCTTGGACAGACTTGCACACAAGGGTATGATGCCTCTTCTTCTCAAGATATGGATGAACACAGATCCTGTCATGGTGTTCTAAAGGTTGAGATCTCAGTGAATATAGGACCAGCTGCAAAACCCTAGTGCCAGTCTCAAAATTTCTTGCCTAGTCTCAAGTAAATTAGTATAAATTCCTTATGGTAGCTGGGCATGGTGTACACACTTGTAATCCCAGCACGCAGGGGGGTGAGGCAAGAGGATCATTGCAAGTTTGAGACCAGCTGGGGGTCCAAAGTGAGCTCAGTGACAACCTGAACTGTATAACTAAATTCTGTCTCAAAAGACCAAAAACAATGCCTTATGGTAGTGTGCTTGAACAGTGCACAGTCTGATCCATCACCTTTGGATTTCTGTGTTTCTTTAATTAAATGCTAAGGAAATGGTCTCTTATTCACTGAACCCTACAGGATTCATAACAAGTTGTGGTTCTCTATTTTATCTGTGTCTTACAACATAGGATCTATGAGTGGACTTCCTTTTGCTCACTAAAGTGAAGATAAGGATGAACTCTCACACATCATTACTAACATGCTGGTTAGCAACCCAGAATCAGAGTCAATCTACATTCATCCATGTGCACAACTCCTTAAGAGGCCTCAGCCACCTCTACTCAAGAAATTTTAAGAATTGTGAGTGTCAAGAATTATCAGATCCTACAGCTGCTAAATCTAAAATTAAAATCTTGAAATCTCAGATTCCTAAACCTTAGGCTCAAGATCTTTGGGTCATTGATGCTTGGAATTCTTGGTGTTTATCATTTTTGTCAGAAATTTCCCTGCACACATCTTTGGAAATTGAATTCCAACCCTCTTTGTGGTGGGAAACTTCAAGGCCAATGTTCTTTCTCAGAAGGAGTCAAGAGCTAAAGTAGGGACTAGAATTAGTGGAATTTACCAGTGACCTATGCCTCTCAGGTAAAGTCCAGTAGCTAGTAGGCCTGTGTCCCACCTTAGAGATGGAGAAGAGAGCAAGTATAATTTCATACAATCCTCCAACGTACATGTAGGGAGAAAACAGTGTATCACTAAGGTGTTCCATGGTACAGAGAGAGATCACAGTCTAGTGAACAACACCCAGCTCACATTTGTCCTGACAGTCTCAGCTTTCAAACCTGTAAGGAACAGCTCAACTGTTCTGGAAGCAAGATAGAAAGAGGAGCCCTGTTATTATTCTTTTTTAGCTCATATTTATGAAATATAATACTTTATTCATTGTGGTTATTGAGTTCCAATACACAACATATCTGAATTTTTCTTGCTTCCTCTTCCCCTCCTCATCTCCCTTTCCCTTGGCCATCACAACTTTTTCCATTTGTAAGAAATCTATCTGCCTGTTTCCTTCTATTTCTACTGCATTTTTCTCTTTGTCCTTTTCTTAATCAAAAAAGATGTCATACAGTAGTTGTTACTGTTTGTGTCCTGATGTTCCTCCAAAGTCTCATGCCATCATGGTGGGCAGGCTTTGCAGAAGTGGCTGAATATAAAGTTTATGACTGTTTGGGATCAGGCAGAACAGAACTTCAACAGAGAGGCCCAGTTTGGGACCATGTGGTGGAACTCCCTGCATAGTGGCTAGGTGCTAGACCCAACAAGCTAAACCAGGAGCATAACATCTAGCCAGCAGGGAACAGCGGGTTCACTTCCAAGGGCTGCAGCAGGAAGAAGCTGAGCACAGCAGCCAGACCCAAGCCAGGCCCAGCTGGTCAAGTTTGAGTTTAGTAGATCCCTACTCAGTGCACTACTAGACCCAGTGGGGCACAGACATAGACCCAGATCTGAGAGAGCATCCTCTTGAGACAGGGGTGGTAACAGGTAACTGGGGTGAACTAGTCTGCCTGGAAGACTCCAAGTACATCAAGGGGAGGTGATCAGAAAAAATTAGGGAAATTAATTTAAATACAAATTCCCAATTTAATATCTGCTTAGCTATACAGTCATGATGTTTGCTCTTATGGTCTAAAATAAAGTTTATGACTGATTCATTGTCTCATGCTGGGATTGGGGAAGTGATTACTACACCCACCCTAGGCTGGGTAGCTTACATACAATACAAGGGACAGCAAGAGGCTTATGCTTCTCTCCTCTCTTGTTGGCTGTGTTAGTTGATACATTGTGTCAACTTGGCTGAATCAGCTCCGGCAGTTCTCAGCATGGGGGCCTCACCCTGCAGGTGGGCAGGAAACTGCCCTGCCTGGTTTCCTGACCTCCCACCCCGCTTCCGTGGAGAAGTCTCAGTCTTTGGAGGAGCTTGATCTCGGCAGCCACGCCACTTTGGAGGAGCTCCGATCTTCACTGCCGGTTTTTGCAGTCAGCGCAGAAGGAAGAGAGAGGATTGATGGACGCCGCCGCAGCTGCTGCTCCTCCTCTGCTCTTCATTGTTTTCTGCCACATGAACTGCTGTTGTTTGCCTTGGAGCCAGCAGAATATGGACTGAACCCTCCAGTAACTGTGAGCTAAATAAACCTTTCCTTCCTTCATTTTGAGTGTTGGGTATTTGTCCCAGCAACGAGTAAAAAGTAACTAAGACACTGGCTTTGGTATCTTACACTGCCATAAACAGCTTTGCCACTGCCAGGCCATTCTGCCATACAATCAGCCCATTAAGGACTGAAACCTCTACAAACTGTGAGCTAAATAAACCTCTCCTCCTTTCACGTCAGGTGTTGGGTATTTTGTCTCAGTGAAGAGAGAAAATTTAATAAAACAGTATTTAAACTTGATGTCTTATTTACTTCATTGAACATTATATTTTCCAGGTGCACCATTTTCCAAAGAACATCTCAAATTTGTCATTTTTAAAATAACTGAGTGGTATTCCATTATGTGTAGATATCATATTTTCTTTGTGATTTCCTTACTCCTGAGTACTTTTGGATCCTGGGACCTGTCTTCCAAGCCCTGGAATGCCCTGTTAACTGTAACTTACCATGATGGTGTTGCAGCACTCACAATGAAGAAAGCATGAGAGAGAGAGAGAGAGAGAGAGAGAGAGAGAGAGAGAGAGAGAGAGAGCTTTCTTTGTGGGTTTGAGACCATCCTAAATTTGGGTCAAGATTACCAAATCATCAGCCCCTGTTTGCACTTTTCCTCCAGGTTATATGCTTTTCTGGTTTCCACAGTAACCACTTTACCTCATTTTCAAGAGTTTTACAATAATGTTACATAATTGCCACAAGGTTTACATTTCTAAGACACTGTTGACCAGCTGCCTATCACTGGGCAATGTGGTTTGATGTTTCTCATATTCCCCAAGTTGTTCTTTTTCTTCCTATTTAATGACCCTGGCTTTCTCTAAATGGGTTGATGGTTAGCTACACAGAAGAGTGTGAGGGAGGGAGTTTATCTATAGATTAAGTGAATTGATCCTCCTTTAAAATGGAGATCCCATCAATAGATCTCTGGCTAAAAACTTTCATGATGTTGTGATGAGATTGCAACATTAGTGTATACAATCATATTAATCTCCATTTGTTCTGTAAATAACAATTAGTAAATTAATCATATTAATCTCACAGATGGATGTGAGTTTCTCTGGGAGCTCTTTTTCTTTTATAATCTCTAATATGAACTTGTCATGCTTTGCTGTCTTGGAAAGGGAAAAGGATCAAGCATGCTTGGAAACTTCCCTCTCTCTACTTTCCTCCTATAGAGCTCTAAAATGAAAATGATCTGACAGCCAGAGATATGAGGTGGAAGACAAAGATAAAATTAGTGCATGGTAACAGTGACTAGAAGGTGCTATAAAGACTAGAAAAGAGCCAGAGAAATAGAGGCTGAAATTTCTAGTCAGCGAGTGACTTACACAAGGATAGAAAAACAGAGCTAGAGATAGGCAATAGGAACAGAAGACCATATATACCAAGAGACACTGGAGAGAGTGTAATAAGAGGCCTCTTTTTCTTCTCCCTTAGCTCTTCATTTTTCTCTTTTTCTCTTTTCCCTGTTCATTAAATCCCTCTGTCCATTCTCTCTCCTCTCTATCTCTGCTTCTCTTTCATTGTTTGTTTTTTTCCCCTCTGACTTCATCTTTACAGTTTTCTGTGTATTTTATACTCCTCACATCTGATCATGGCTGGTCTTTGCATGTGTTTTCATCATGTGCCTCAGGGCTGGAGTGCACTGAACAGGGTAGAGCTTGGGGAGAAGGGTCCCATAGTTGTTCTCATTGTCCTCATAGTTCACAGTCTCTAGGGCAGAGAATTCCCTATGATCTCCAAATGGCTGATATCAGAGATTTTAGATGAGGCCAACTAAAGAACAAGGATTAGAAGAATAGCTCTGGGGTACAAGTTGTCCCTTTTCATGGCCCTTGAACTCCTGAGCTACAGACAATATACATGACACTTAGGTATTCTCTGCATCATAGACTAGCAAAATCACTATTTCTGTAATAGACTGAGACTCACAGATATATCATCCTTAGATTAAATTTATTTTGAAATCATAGAACTTTACATTCTTCACAATACTGGAATGTGTTATTTCATAAAGTGTGAGATTTTGATCTACATTTGGGTTTGTGAAGTTTCAAC